AAGACCTGCTCTGTGTTCTCTGCTAATAACCCGACTGTAAATGATGTGAGCGGCATTATGAAGCTGCAGCCGTGGCGGGGATGATTTTTTGGTGTGCCGGTGTTGGTGAGAACATCGGCAGAACAACAACAATGTGCTACGTGTTTCTTTTCTCCTCATTTTTTCCAATTGACGGAAATCTGTCGTAGCAATGGAACACTTTCATCCCTGAGTAGTATTATGTACATCATACTGCACCACAGTAATATATTTCTGATAATTTCTTTAAGCTAACCCGAACTTATATTTTGACGGGTTGCCATGAGGAACTTGTTTCTGTAGGTCTATGTAAATGATATGAAGATCGTTTTACGCCAATGAAACTGTCAAATGCTCATGAAGTGACTCTTAGAGGGAGTCAGAGCAGTTCTGGAGATGTTGTTCATGTATTTATGTCCTCATGTAGTGATATGACAGAAGCTGAAATCACCGTGAGCATCGCACACTTACACTTACACGCCATTTACATACACAGAGACATGCAGAACATGCTGGATTCATATTTAAATAGTATTTTAAATAGTATTAAATATTTTTCTTAATATTTACAGATACTAGTCCATATTGCGACTCTATTTAAGCGCCGATAATCGGGCGACCCCTAGAATGAACAAATCACAGATTCTTGATTTTATTGCATTTTACAAAACTTCCCAACTGCTCTGGAATTGGGGTTATGGTGTTGAGCACTACTGTAAGGTTAACCAGGAAATGTTTAAATGTTTGAAAATGCCAGTTGAAAACGTTAGAAATTTAGAAAAGTTATCAAAAAGTAATAAAATGTAATCAGTTACATTACTTGAATGAAGTAACTGAAATAGTTACACTACTTATTACATTTTTAATAGGGTAACTTGTAATCTATAACCTACTGCATTTCCAAAGTAACCTTCCCAAAACTTGTTACTGAAATACAAATGGTAATCCGGCCCAGCAGTGTCTATATAAAGGAATTGTAAAAACCATAAATGTCTGGTAAAGCCATGGAAATTCAGTGGTCAGGTGTAGGAATTCTGAATCAAGTTGCATTTAATATCATTACTTTAGCCACTATATGTGTAAATTTCCTACTTTAAATATATGAAAACTTAATTTTTGATTAGTAATATGCATTGCTAAGAACTTCATTTGGACAACTTTAAAGGCGATTTTCTCAATATTTTGATTTTTTTTTGCACCCTCAGATTCCAGATTTTCAAATAGTTGTATCTCGGCCAAATATCGTCCTATCCTAACAAACCATACATCAATGAAAGCTTATTTATTCAGCTTTCAGATGAAGTATAAATCTCAATTTCCTTATCAAGACCCTTATGACTGGTTTTGTGGTCCAGGGTCACGTATGTCTTCCATTTGTCTCTTCATTCTTGTTATCTTCATAAAATCTGTCTTTTTTTGCAGGATTATTACAGCAATGGACTGGCTGTCAGTGCGTGTGCTCCTCTTCTGCCCGATCCCACTGCCCCCTCATGCTACTATGCCCCTCGCCCCGTCCTCTCAGCACATCCAGAGGAAGGACTGCCCGTCCCTGTAGGAATGCCTGTTTGGGCCTGGCACCTGCCTCTGCCCGCGGCTGCTCCCACACCTTTTGCCATTCCACCCCCCATCAGCTCTCGCAGGCTGCTCCATCATGAACGATGAGGTCATCAGCACTAACACACTGGCCTGGCTGGTCTGCTCAGGAGTGTCCATCCTGGCCAACACCTGGGGAATCCTGAGCGTGAGCGCCAAGCAGAAGAAGTGGAAGCCTCTGGAATTCCTCATCTGTACCCTGGCTGGCACGCACATCCTCAACATGGGTATCCCTATCACCATGTATTGCGTCATTCAGCTTCGGCGACAGCACTCAAACTATGAATGGAACGAAGGACTCTGCAAGGTGTTTGTCTCCACCTTCTACACCCTTACCCTGGTCACCTGCTTCTCCGTCACCTCCCTGTCCTACCACCGCATGTGGATGGTCCGTTGGCCTGTCAACTATAGGTAAGCAAAAGGCCCTTTACATTAATACAAGGAGATTAATAAGAGACATATTCATTTATAGTGGGAAATTATTAGCTTTTAAAGTATACCTTAACCTTGATGCTTAATTATACATAAAGGCTGTTTGGAATTTTCAAACAGGTCAGCAAATGCTTACCTAGTTAAACTGTCTTTGAAATTGTAGGTAATTTAGGTTCCCTTTCAGTCGGTCACTCTCGACGTCACGTCGGATGACCGACGAATTGGGCTCTCGCTTAGAGAGACCAATCTACTTCGAGTGTAAACTCAACGAGCCAATGCACATTGGCATGCGATTATTGCATCCAGCTGCATCTAAAAGAGCTTCACAGGTGGAACGTCTTTTTAAAGATGCGTCTTTTTAAAGACGCGTCTTTTTAAAGATGTCTTACCATCAGTGTGTTTCTGGGTGCGGTCGTTACCTGGCGCCGGGTGATGGTCACGATCGCTGCCTCTCGTGCCTGGGCATGAAGCACGCTGAGATGGCTTTCGTGGATGACTCATGCTCCCATTGCGGGGGTATGACCATCTCGGAGTTGCGGACCAGACTCCGTTACCTGCAAGGGGGCGGAGTGCCCGTGCCACTGCCTAGATCGCGGGCTCCCTCTGGTGACAGCCGGGGGCGTCCCTTTCCTGGCGGTGGGCGGACTGGTCTTACGGTCACGGTGAGGAATTCCCCTCTGAGGATGCCCGAACCCGCCGGCATTGCGGAACCAGTGGAGTTCCCGAGAGAGCAGGCTGGACCCTCCCGGGGGTCCTGTTCCAAGTAGAACGGGTACGTTTTCCCAGTGTTATCCAGTCTTACTCATTGTCCCAGTTCCAAGTAGAACGGGTACCCATAGCAGCAGTAGCTGGTCCTCTTGTGCAAGCCCGGGCCTACGCCAAAAAGTAGGGGTGCAGGTGGCTTCCACAGGACACTGGAAGGGGCAGTATCTGTGGCCTTTTGGTAAACCGAGACGTTTTTATGTATTGAATAAAATCATAAAGTTAAAAATTTGATCTTTTTTGTACTTTTTTGACATTTATGGTAGGTTTCTTTTTAGATATGGATGGAAAAATGGCCATTATGCTTGTGGTAGCTCTGGTGACATCATCACAGTGGCTTTCTCCTTTTCTAAAAAAGTGGCAGCTGAGCACTGCACAGGCACTTACTGTAAATTTGGTTCAGAATACATGTAATGCACACATAAACGAATATATGAATCAGATTGCAAAGTTTAGGGGTTGATATAAACAACTTTCAGAATCTCATTCATTCAGATTGACAAAAATTAGTGCATTACACTACTGCGGCCATTCTTTAAACAAGTTCCTTTTAGATCTTGGGTTGGTTTCAGGGAGATACAGTTCATAGCAGTGGTTTACTGAATTTTGTTGAACGTAAGTGAATTTAACTCGTTCAGTCATTTTACTGAGATCTGTTATATAAAACAACAACACCTTGTTGATGCAGTCATGCTGGATTTTGGTGTTAAGCTGTTGGAAAAGGGCCTGCCATTGACAATGTTACATAAAAAATAGACTATTAGATACTTTTGCTAGACAGACAGTTCATTTGGAGCTATCAGGCCAATGATTCAGTTTGAGGACAACTTTCTTTTAATCATAGATGCTTTATCTCAGTCCCCTGTTGTTTGGAGAAACATCACAGGATTTAATTTTCCATTACATGATTATTATTTAGCCTATGTCTATCCTGTTCTCCAATGCTCTCACATCACAAAGCTTTGCAGGAGTATTTGCAGATGAATGGTTTTCTAGAGTGTAATGATTGCAAAGCCCCATTAGCAAACAATGAAAAGAAGCACTAAAATCAATATTTGGCATCATATTGTATAGGCGCAAAATGTACATTTACATTTACATTTAGCAGACGCTTCTATCAAAAGCGACTTATAAATGAGGACAATGGAAGCAATCAAAATCAAAATATAAATAAATAATGACGATGTCGATAAAACAACTGCACATGACAGAGGACAAAAATTGCCTGTTTTTTGTTGTCTGTATGTTGATTCACAACTGATCGTTTGCTTTGTTTTGGTGCTTTGTGCCCATTGCTGATAATGTTTAAACAGCACAAGTCTCATTCACAGCACAAATTCATAATGATTATTCACTCTCAGTGTGAATGGGCTTTAGGGCTTTAATAGGAAATGTGTCTTGACAAGGTTTCATACATGAACATTCAAGTTATCACTGTAATCTTCAGTAACAATTCTCAGAGCATTTGAATGCACAGGTATTTGTTGAGATATCATTTCAAACCCAGTTTCTGTTTAATTTCAATATGTATACACTTCCATTCAAAAGTTTTAGATCGGTAAGATTTTTTTAATGCTTTTAAAAGAAGTCTCTTCTGCTCATGAAGGCTGCATTTATTTGATCCAAAATACAACAAAAACAGTAATATTGTGAAATATTTTTACAATTTAAAATAAATGTTTTCTATTGGAATATATTTTAAAATGCACTTTATTCCTGTTATGCAAAGCTGAGTTTTCAGCATCATTACTCCAGTCTTCAGTGTCACATGATCCTTCAGAAATCTTGTTAATATTCTGTTCTTTTGAACTTTTTATTCATCAAAGAATCCTGAAAAAAAAATTGCACAAAAACTGTTTTCAACAGTTTCAACTGTTTTGATAATAAATGTTTACTGAGCAGCAAATCAGCATCAGCAATATCACTGTTTTGCTGGATTTTGGATCAAATAAATGGCGTTGAGTTGAAGAGACTCCTTTTAAAAACATTTTAAAAATCTCACCGATCTAAAACTTTTGAATGGTAGTGTAGATTTTAAATATGTGGCCATATATTTCAGAATACAAAGATTTGAAACTTGGTTGATAGCTTTAAACTGCCCATTCTCCAAAATTCTATTTGAACTGTACAGTCAGGCACATTATTAATTTTTACTTAGTGGATGCACTGTTTCTTCTCAGAGAACTGAGCCACATTTGCTTAGAGGAAATTGGCAGTATATACACCATGACAATGGCCTAGAGGTGGGAATGAGTCTAGATCACTTTTTGATTTCATACTGAGTTGCAGAGGAACTGTCATTGTATGGGAAATACTTACCTAATTATAATTAATTCGCTTTAATCTGTTCTTTATTCTTTGAGAAAACCTTATATCCTTAATTTAAGTTTACACTTAAAATGTAAACTGACTTTCGTGATTGTTAGTTTTAGCGTATTAATGGATATGAAAATGTTAGTGTATTTGATCTAGATCTGCTAAGTATGCTGCAGTAGAGCAAGTAGACTTGCTACTACCAATACATACACAGACACGCTGCTGTGAGCATACTGTATTAGATATGCTGCTGTTGCTTGAATAGGCGTACATAAATTTTATAGCAGATCTATTCATCTATACACCACATTGCTCATTTTGGATGTCTCCTTCATCCAACACTCCTGATTCATCTCATCAGCTCATTATTAGTGACTAGAAAACTTGATTTGGGTGTGACTGATAAGGGAGATCCCAGGTGTCCCCAGGACTGGTTTGAGAAGCACTGATCTCTAGAGTATTATTTTTCTTCCCTATAAGTGTCTGTGTGTCAGAGATCATAAGTCATAGAGATCTCAAACTTGGTGGAATGGTTTCAAATCCCCCTCACTACTCAGGCATTCCCACACACATCCGTTGCACACTAGGTGGCACTGTAATTAATTATTACATTTGCATTTTAGTTTAGAACTTTGGATCCATAAGGGCCAGGGTCAATGTTTTTTCCTCTCAATTCTTGAGTCAAGATATTTATACAATATATATTTACAAATATTTATACATTCTTTTTTATAAATGAATACCAAGATATTTATATCTACAGTTTTATTGTACCCTGGGATTTTAATTTTCCTGGAAAACCCAAAATTTTGATACATCAAAGTGTAGATAAATAAATATAAGCAAATGAAATGGTCAGGCACCACCAGTTTTTATGAACCGACCTATACCTGCCAAACTATATCTGACGAATGTCCAAACTTAATGAAACTTGATATGCATAGACAACAGGACATTCTCAGGACATATGCCAAGTTACATGAGATTCCAACCATAGGGGAAACTACAACTGAAAAACCCTTGTAACTCCACAGCTGTATCATTAATCGAGTTAAATATATGTGTCTTCTTTGGGTCAAAAGCGTACATATATTTTGAATATAACTTGGACAATTCAACAAACATGGATGCCAGCAGCCAATCAATCTTCAGCAGCTTAAAACAAAAAATCAGAATGGTTGACATATTGATACAAAGTCTCTGCTTCCCAATGTTCATACTATCCATCCTAAATAGCATGTGAGATTAGAATGTGTCGCAAAGCATAGTATGTTGAAAAGAGTATGCCAAAAGTCCCCAGATAGGCTACTAATTCCGGTAGATTTTCAAAGTGTGGATCTGTACACACTCTAATGGCTAATATTGCCTACAACCCATTGCGCTTTGCAGAAGGATTTGGTTCAGAACTACAAACACAGAATAAAAAGTGTTTAAAAACTACAAAAATGGTGGGTATGCCAGACCGATGTTTAAGTAGAGAGGTTTAGATTTGGGTGACTAATAATCAACATTTAACCTGATATATATATTGCACATTGGCAGCTGATCCGAGCTGACTATTCTGTTGAAACCTGCAGACAGGTCCAGAGTGAGACAAGAGCCACCAGTAGTCAAGGACATTAGAGTGTGGCCACAAAAGGCCATTTCTTTTTTACAGGGCTGCTTTGAGTGTACACAATGGAGCATCTTCAAGGAGACAGCAACATCTGGGGACTGTATCAACCTAGAGGAATATATAGAGACTGTGTTGGGATTTATTAGTAAATGTATTGATGATGTGACTGTTACAAAAACTGTCAAGCTGCGTTCTACTGCTAAGCTTTGGCTTACATCAAAGGTTCACTCATTGCTGAGGCTTCGTGATACTGCATTTAGATCTGGTGACACTGAAACGTACTAGA